CCGCCTGCCCATCTCAAAGCCCATGTCTCCACGGGCCTGGCCTCGCACCACGGGTTCTGGGCTGCCCCCGGGGAGGGGCCTGTGGCGACCGGGGCTCACCCAGCGCCCTGAGCGCACAGGAGCGCGCCACCGTCCCGCACACCGAGGCGGACTCACCGTAGACGGACACCCCCGCCCTGAGCTCTGGGTACGTCATCATCACGTGGTGCACGGCGACGCCGCCCCAGCAGAAGCCCACGACGCCGACCCTCCGGGCCTGGCACTGCTGCTTCAGGTACCGCAGGACAGCGTCGAACTCCCTGGAACCGAGAGAAGCGCTCAGGGCCGGGCGGGGGTGAGCGGGCAGCTTCGGCCACTGTCACCTGAAGTTGTCATCTGAAGTTGCCCAGGGTCCCCGCTCCCGAGCCCCAGCCTCAGCCCCTCCAGCGTGCACCTCCCCGGCGCCCCCAGCCCAGCCAGGCCGGTGCACTGTCCCCCAGACACACGGCGCCCTTCCCGGCCTCGGGAAAGAGAGAAGCTGCTGTGTCCCCCCATCTCCCCTCAGGGAGGTGCTGGTCTGACTGAGCCGGTCCCACGGGCTCTCTGATCCTTTCCTAAGACCCATCGCTCTGCGTCGCCCCTGCCTCCTCTGCCCAAAGAGCCGAGCTCCATTTGGAAAGCCACCAGGGCTATTGAAGAGGGCCCTGTCTTGCAATGGTTCATTTACAAAGTGCAGCTCGGGGTCCAAGGCCAGCCCAGAAAGTTCTATCGGATCTGATGGGAAGAAGCGCTATATATTTATGATTTTTTAAAAAACAAAAGAACAAAGCAGCTCTGTCACCGCATTCTTTTAAACACAACGTATGTTTGAGCACATTTAAACCAACGCGTGACAGCCTGCTGTGTGCATTCAGTGGTCTTCATAACATGACAAGAGCAGTAATGAAGTGATTCTGCAAAATAAAATATCACAAGAACAGTTGGGGCCCTTCAGGTTTTTTACTTTCTTGAATGCTTTCATTTTAGGAATGAATGCCTTCATTTGGGGAGATGAGAAGGAAGGCATTTCTATAAATATTCTTCTACTTGGGTGAACACTGGATGCTTCTTGCTGCTTAAGAATCCAGCTGTGGATGAAGTACCCCTCCATCCACACACATTAGAGGGCTCTGCCCTCGGTTCCAGGAGTAGAATAGGTGAGTCATCTCCACAGCAGAGCAAACTCCTGGCCACAGTGATTACTTGGAGGAAGACCTTCTGATCCAGTCATAACCCAAGAGACAAAATGAGGCTTGCTGGGTTGTTGGGAGAGAAGCAATGGAAGGTTAGAGCTGCTGCAGCCACTTTGCCACCCAGAGGCAAGAGCTACCTGAGAATGAAGCCAATGCCTACCTTTTCTCAGTTCTATAAAACAGTAACTCTCATGACTGCTGAAGCATTCAGGATGGGTTTGTGATGGATGTAAATGAACACCTGATGGGACACAAAGCTTCTGCCCACCCCTTCCAATCCTCCCTCTGAGAAGGAAGCCCCTGCACCAGCTCACACACTGCAGCAGATCCAACCTTCTGCCTTTATGCTGTAGGACGGACCCTCTGGGCCAGTCACGGAGGTCCTCCGGGGAGGAGGGAGGACTCGAGGCCTCTGAGGTGAAGCCAGGCCCCTCTCCCCTCCCGCTGCCCCGTGCGCCRTGCCTGCGGCGACTCACCTATTGATCTTCCTGGCATTTCTTGTTTTCAGCCACTCGGGGAAGGTGGCCCAGTCACCAGTGGGGCTCCACGGCTCTTGCCCCACAAAGAAGTCGGGGACGATGGTTCTGTGAAAGGTGGACGTCAGTCAGCCCTGGGTTCACAGTGGCCTGGACGCAGCATTTGTTTACGTCTCTCTAGCCACTTGCTCAGGTGGCAGCTCTGGTCACAGAGAAGGCAAACTGGTGGCCACAAAGGCCAACTTTGATGGCAGCAAAAAAGGCAACTGGTGCCAAGTCCCAGTGTCTCAGATTTCACAACCGCAGGCACTTGGCCTCCCGTCGGGGAGCCACCCGCCCCGGGCAGGACAGGATTGGGCACTCCCCTGGGACACTCCAGCACTAGACATGAGGGCCTGTGGCTGGCAGCTGGGGGGGGGGCCCTGTCCCCACCCCCAGGGCTGCACCTCTCTGCAGGGCCAGGAGCCCCCTGGACTCTCCCACTGGCCTGGGACACGTGGACCGCATGGCCAGTCACTATGAGCAAGCAACTTCCCAGGCCTCCACCCAGGCTCCAACAGGACACAGTTTCCTGCCCAGAGAGTAAGGTCCACCACGGGTTCTAGAAGAGGCCAGGCAGGGAGAACAAGCCAGGTTCCAGAGTCCAGGTCGTTCCCCCCCATCAAGCCAGGAGGGACGGAGCCCTTCCCAAAGTCGGGAGGTGGCCGTGGGGAGGAACCCAGCCCCTCCCGCAGAGGAGGCACAGCCCCAAAACCTGGCTCAGGAAAGTCCCACTCGGGTGTGACCCACCCACTATGGTGTGACCCCAAGTCACTGGGCCACTCTCAGCCTCTCTCTCTTGATGGACCAATGGACGGCACCCTGTGCCCAGCCTCTGAGGAGAGCCTTGAGGGTGGAGTGAGTGGGGTAAATGCCAAGGTGCCTTGAAGTCACAGACAGACAGCCTCGCTGCTCCGACTCCAGCCAAGGACACCCTCGGGACTCCAGGAGCCCCGAGCCCACTGGGCCCCGTCCGCTGGCTCTGGCATCAGGGTGCCCATGACTGCAAACCTCCATCTACGCCCTGGTTTCCTGAGCTGCCAAATGGCCAGGGGACAGTCCTCCTCCAAGGGCTGCTGGCAGGACTGGGGGCCCCCGCTCCCAGTCACGCCTGTGGCACTTGTGCCTAAGCCAGAGGCATCAGGACTGGCCGCTTATTGTCGGTCTTGCCCTAAAAATCGAGGTGGCTTCATCCTCCAGGGAGTCTGGGGACATGAACGGTGACATCTTTTCATGCCCCAGCAGCTGTGGTTCCTTTTAGTCAGTTTCTCTACTGAGGAAAACAAGGTAGGTTCCCGTCAGCTCTGCAGCCTCTCCTTTAGAGAAGACAAAGCCATCTCATGGTGACCCCAGCTCAGGGCCACTGGGCTTTCCGCTCTCTGAAGCGGGAGGAGAAGGATGGTTCTACTCATCTGCATACTTTCCTGAAGCTTCTACCAAGGGTGGCCATGGCGTAAACGCAGAGCGATGAGCCCAGTCTCGCTGTGCTCTTTCTGGAACCCAGTCTAATTCGGATACAGCCAGGAGGGGACACGCTGGGATCAGGATGAGCCAGGGGTACCTCCTGTCCACATGAAATCTGACCCAAGGCTGACATGCTTCAGGGGCCAAAAAATGGGTCCATTTGAGAGCTGGGGATGTGTGCAAAGGTGTCCTGTCCTGTGTGTGGTGAGAGGACCCTGTCCCAGAGTCTATAGGGCCAGGAACCCCCAGGAGGACCRAGGCCCAGGGCCTGGGGTGTCTTCCACGAGGCAGCTGTTCAGGACCCCTTGGCAGCTCCCCTCCCCTCCACCACAGGGAGGGGAGGAAGCAGAGAGAGTGAGGAGAAGGATTTCGCTTTTGTTTCTCTTTCTGAAGAACAAAATGGACCACAGAAATTTACATGAATTAAGCCAAGGAACAGGATTTTGTACTCACGTGTATCCGTTTCCTGCAATCAGGTCAGCCATGTACCTGGTGTTGGGCAGCTGCCACCCAAATATGTCTTGAATGACAATCACGGCTTTGCCGGCATCGACTGGGGATCTGGTGACATAAGCCTTGATGTGTTCGACTTGGACTTCCTGCCCCATGCCTCCATACTCCAGTCTGTGACCAATGTCACAGGGGCAGGGATGAGCTTCGTTAGCCATCGGAGACCTCAAAGTCAGCTACAGAGAAAACACAGTGTCGGCTGGATGGTTCAGATCTAAAGATCACAAATAGTAAACGATAATCAAGAGTATTGGAAACAACCAGGCATGGTGGTGCACCCTGTAATCCCAGAGGATGGGGAGGCTGAGGCAGGAGGATTGCAAATTCAATACCAGCCTCAACAGCTTAGTAAGGCTCTAAAGCAATTTAGCGAGACTCTGTCTCTAAATGAAATAATAAAAAGGGCTAGGGATGTGACTCAGTGGTAAAGGGCCCCTGGGTTCAATACCTGGTACCAAAAAAAAAAAAAAAAAAGAAAGAAAGAAATTACTGGAAAACATTATTTTAAATCCATCTGTGGTATTTACTGTAAAAGAAATTGATGCTGCTGGGTGTAGCGGCACACCCCTGAATTCCCAGTAGCTCAGGAGGCTAAGACAGGAGGATCACGGGTTCAAAGCCAGCCTCAACAACAGCGAGGCGCTCAGCAATTCAGTGAGACTCTGTCTCTAAATGAAATACAAACACAAGGGCTGGGGATGTGGCTCRGTGGTTGAAAAAAAAGGAAGAAATTGATGGTAATTCTGGCTCTGGCAACATAGAAGATGAGGGCCCAGGAGGAGCCATCCCCACTGCAGACAGGAGAAATGCCAGATTGAATATAAACACTAATAACGATAAAAATGGCAGAGCTCACAGGAAAAGGGGTCCCGGGGGCCAGGGGTGGAGAGGAAACTGAAAGTCACACAGCAGATGGTAAAGCAGCACAGTGATGGCAGGCACAGAGCCAGACAATCAGGGGCTTAGGATTGGTGTCCAGTGAGGCCCAGGACCACCCCAGATGGGAATCTGTAGCCAGGACACACCTCTGCAAGGTCAAGCCCTGGAAGTTCACAGGGCCGGGGGGGGGGGTCTCAAAACAAAACAAGAAAAGCTCTATCAACCAGGATCAGAAAGGCAGACTAGAAGCTCATCTCACCTTCAGCTCTGAGTGGAAGGGGACAAGCACCCCCACACTAGACGGGACTTGCAAAGCAGGCATACTTAGCAGCCTGAGAAACGAAGGTGACAGTGGCCCTGGGCCAGGAAGCCGCTGGAGAACCTGGCAGAAGCACACCAGACCCACTTCACCGTAGGACGGCCACGGCCCAGGCCGAAGAGCATTGCCCTGTCCAGGAGGGGAGCTCCGTAAATACCACCCACAGAAGCCATCCAAAGAAATAAAGACCAGAGAGAACAGCCCAGTGAGAGGGGGTTTGAGAGGAGAGCAGACCCTCAAAGCTTAAAGAACAAAACAGAAAACTCGCTCACCACCACAGTATGGAATTATGTAGCTGAAAGAATCCAAATAAATGTAAACATGTTAACTCACTCATCGAGACAGATTCTCATGCTGGATTTTTAAAAATTTAGTGTTCCATCAGAAAGAGGGAGCTAGGAACACTTAACCCAAAGATATACGTAGGCCCGTCACTAACAATTAGCCAGCAAAGCCTCTCCAAGCAGATGTGAACACTTAGCAAACTACCTGCATACTAACCACCAAGCCACATCCCCAGACCTTTTTTGTATTTTATTTAGAGACAGGGTCTCACTGAGTTGCTTAGGACCTCACTAAGTTGCTGAGGCTGGCTTTGAACTCATAATCCTCCTGCCTCAGCCTCCTGAGCCACCGGGATGATAGGGTGTACCATGGGGCCTGGCCAAAATGCAAGTTTCAACAATGATTTTACATAAAAAAATGTTCTACATGTATAAGGAAATCATAATAGGAAGTCAAAAGGCCTAGAACTGAAYTACAAAGAAAATACTACATAGCAAAAAATGATAAAAATTAATACTTAGAGAAGTCTTTACAATGTAGATGGCATATATTAGACAAGAGGAAAAAAATGAAAATAAACTAAGCATCAAGAAGTTAAGAAGTGGTGCATGCCTGTAATCCCAGTGGCTAGGGAGCCTGAGGCAGGAGGATCATGAGTTCAAAGCCAGTCTCAGCTACTTAGCAAGGCCCTAAACAACATAGCAAGACCCTGTCTCAAAAAAATAAAAAGGCTAGGGATATGGCTCAGTGGTTAAGTGCCCCTCGGTTCAATCCCCAATCCCCCCCCCAAAAAAAAATGAGTTAAGGAAAATAATTGAATAAACCCTGTCTTCGTGTATTCATCTTGTAACAAAATACAACTACATGACTCATAAACTGAGGCGTGGTTCTCCCAGTTCTGGAGGCTGAGAAGCCAAGAACAAGATGAAGGCAGGCTCAGGTCTGGTGGGGGGCACTTTTTGTCTCACAGTGGGTGCCTTCTCCTGTGTCCTCACACCACGGAGGGAGGAGGCAGCTCCCTGGGACCCCTTTTAGGAGGGCACTAATCCCCATCATGAGCTCTCCACCCTCACGACCTCTGCACCTCCCAGAGGCCTCACCTCCCAATATCATCATCACCCGAGGACAAGGGGTCCACACATGAACTGGGGGGATACCAGCATGCAGACCACAGCAAGCCCGACACAGAGAAAACGAGGACATGAAGACATGCACTGGGGAAAACCCAAAAAGATTAAAATTGGCTTCCTTGAAGAGTCATGAACTAGGCACAGCTCCAGCCCCACGAGTTAATCCAAAGGAAACAATGAAAAACACATGGCAACCAGAAACCAGGTCCCAAAGGAAAGGTATCTGAAGATGCTCCGTTTAGCTGGGACACCCAGCTCAGGGGCAGAGCACAGGCCCAGCAAGGCCTGGCCCTGGGTTCCGTTTATTTACGTAAGTAAATGGATACATAAGATTTTTCTCCTGTGGGGGCTGGGGTTGTAGCTCAGTGGTAGAGCACTGGCCTAGCCTGTGTGAGGCCCTGGGTTTGATTGTCAGCACCACACACAAATAAATAAAGTTCTATCAACTACTAAAAAAATAAAATAAAAAGGATTTGTCTCAGAAAAATATTACTATKAACAACTTTAGGCTAATAAATTTGAAAACACAAAATTGATTAATTGGTAGCATAACAAATATGGGAATATTTCTCACCTGTTTTATATGCCTAACACCAAAACTCAAAATGTAAAAAGAAAAAAAGGCAGTGAGACAGTTCTAGATTAAGAGACACAAAAGAAAAACAAATTCACCTAGGTCGTGGTTCAGAATTAAGAACAGCTATAAGAGACACACAAAGACAAGCAGGAAAGTGAATTTGGATGACAGCTCTCATCACTTTATACTATGCATTAGTACCCATTTTATTTTTATTTGTTTGTTTTGTACTAGAGATTGAACCCCTGGGCACTTAACCACCGAGCCACATCCCCAGCCCTTGTTTGTATTTTACTTAGAGACAGGGTCTCACTGAGTTGCTCAGGGCCTTGCTAAATTGCTGAGGCTGGCCTTGAGCTCTCAATCCTCCTGCTTTGGCCTCCTGAGCCATGGTGCCCATCTTGGTATCAGTTTTATAAGGTGTGATTAAGGTGCGGTGACCGTGGTTATATACAGGAATGTTCCCACTTTAAGAAAATGTTTGCTCTTAGAACTAAGAAGCAGAGTCAGCCGCTCAGGGTGAGAGTGGGACTGGACCTGGAGAAGGGAGAGGCAGAGATCCAAGGCCCAGAGAGAGCACGTTCCCCAGCCAGGGCCGCCGTGGGGCCAGACTCTGTGGGTTCTGAGAGTCCTTCCAGGAAGCCAGAGGGCACTGTGGATCCACAGTGGGAGGGTGGACTGGCCAAGGCCACAGCGCACAGCTGCGAAAACAAATCACAAAGGATTCCAGCCAACCGCAGCCAGCAAACCTGTTGGAGGTCAGAAACCTAAGCAGGAAAGAACTGAACTGTTGGGAGGAGATGTAGGAGAACTCCTCTTTGTTCAACCGTGAAGTGAGGCCCAATTTCTTAAAGGAGCCCAAAATAACATATGCCATAAAGGAAAGGATTATTTCTTTTAAGTAAAATATTGTAGAAAATTGAATACTGATGACYACAGAAGGACCCTGGGAACTATCGCCAGCCGTGGCAGGGAGGAGGCTGGTGGGAGCTACGCTGCAGGGTCCTTGTCTGTTGTAGATACATCATCGTGATGAACGGGCAGCTCTCTGGGATCTGCCTCCAGTGGGGTGGGGGCGGGGAGGTGATGCCCGAGTGCTGGAGTGCTGATAGTGAGGCCAGGAGCATCCCCCCCAAACTTGGGATCTTCCATCACCACAAAAAAAAAAGCTTTGTAAATTTTCATCTTGATAACTAAGACAATGAGGTGAATAAGACAATAACAGTTACAACAAGATAAAAGACTTCCTAAACAAATTGGAAAAACAACATAGACTAGGATAAAATATTACTTTTAAAAAACAGGAGACTTAGGGCTGGGGTTGTAGCTCAGTGGTAGGGCACTTGTCTAGTCTGTGTGAGGCACTGAATTCAATTCTCAGCACTGCACATCAATAGTAAAAATAAAGGTCCATCAACAACTAAAAATATTTTTTTAAAAAAAGGAGACTTAGAATAGAGATAAAATACACGAGGTCTTTTTAGCAAGGCATGGTGGTACATGCTTTTAATCCCAGCCATGTGGGAGGCTAAGACAGGAGGATGGAGGCCAGCCTCCACAACTTAGCAAGGTCCTAAGCAACTTAATGAGACACGGCCTCAAAATAAAAAATAAAAAAAGGGTTGGGGATGTGGTTCAGTGGTTAAGCACCCTGGGCTCAGTCCCYAATACCAAAATCAAAGGAAAAAGAAAGGGTAATCTGGACACAGAATCACACTGGAGAGAAGGCCATTTTAAGACGGCGATAGAGTGGAGAGAGGTGTCTACCGCTCAAGAAATACCAAGGACTGCTGCGTTGAAACTGACAGAGGCAAGGGAGTGCTCTCCCCTATGGGTGTCAGAGACAGCATGGCCCTGCTGGATGGACTTCCAGCCTCCAGAACTGAGAGAATGCACTTCTATCCTCTGTTTTGAGGAAATTTGTTACAGCTGCCCAGGAAATAAATCACATGTCAGAATGAATGAACTGCATTTATATTTACCAATATGGTGTCTCAAAAACAAGGCTATGTAAGAAGATAACAGGTATTTTGATGCTAAGTAAATGTTAATGACAAAACAATGTATATATTATTAATAAATATACTGTAATAAAAATGTCATGCACAGGAAAGAAACCAAGTGGTTGCTAGGCAGGAATTATACTTGCTACATTGTATCTCCTTAAAAAGCTTTGACTTGAAGTCCACAAGACAAGATGGTATCTTTTAAATCTGGGTGAAATGAAAATGGGTGGCTGTTTTATTATTCCCTGCATTCATTTTCCTGAACATTCTCAGTGTTTCATAATTACAAATGGGATACTTTTTTTTTTTTTTTTGGTACCAGGAATTAAAGGGGCACTTAACCACTGAGCCACATTCCCAGTCCATTTTATTTTTTTATTTTGAGATGAGATTTCACAAAGTCATTCTGGGCCTGGCTGAGTTGCTGAGGCTGCCTTTGAACTTGTGATCCTCCTACCTCAGCCTCTCAAGCTGCTGGGATTCGAGGTRTGCACCTCCGGCTGTGGTAACTAGATTTTACAAGAAAATAAATTAATAAGCAGTTATTCAACCAAGGAAAAATTGCCTCTTGTTTTCTCGGTTTTGATTTTCCACAAGCTCCTATGGAACTATTATTAGGAAGAGATGTCTCAACAGTTGAGCAGCAGCCCAGTGCACATGGGCTGAGTTCTCACCTGAGCTATCCTGTGAGGACCTAGGACGACGGGAAACACCGGCTGTTCCAAAGCAGACTCTGATATGAATCSTTTGCTGATCTTCAGTTGTTGTCCACGTTCCAGAAGAAATTTTTAAAGCCAAAGAGTGGCCTTCTAGATGGGTACTTCAAGTTGACTATTTCTCAGAAGGGGCAGCAGCCGGGAGAGGGCTAGGTGTGCCAACTGTGGCAGGCTGGACTCTGGCCCAGACCTTTCACAGCTGCTAGCCCGAGCCCATGTGTTGGGGCCAAGTCCTGTAGCAGAGTTGCTGTGGACTGGCCTGCCTGGAGTCCCAGCAAGTCCCAGGGAACATGCCCTTGACTGTCCGCTAATTGTATGATAAGTACATTTTTCTGTATATGCCTTCCAGGATTTTTGCCTCCCCCCATGATTAATTTCTGAAAAGATAATTTCCAGAAAAAATGTGAAACCGTCACTCTCATACAGATGGTCAAGCTGGGTKCGGTAGTGGATACCTGTAATCCCAGTAGCTTGGGAGGCTGAGGCAGAAGGATCATGAGTTCAAAGCCAGCCTCAGCTACTTAATGAGGCCCTCAGCAACTCAGAGAAACTCTGTCTCTAAATAAAATACAAAAAAAAAAAAAAAAAAAAGAGGACTGGGGATGTGGCTCAGTGGTTGAGCACTACTGGGTTCAATCCCTAATGCAAAAAAAAAAAAATCAAGATCACAAATTTATATGCAAATAGAGACAAAACAGTCTTCCAGAGGAGGAAGTCAATCAATTCTCTACAAGTCAAGACAGATTTTACAAAATCTATCAGTCTATCAGTTACACATGACCTAGAAAGAGTTGTGAAATGATCTGAGTACAATGAGCAGGTCTAGAATCAGATAGCCCAGGAGGGTAAGCATAAATGGTGATACTTTTCCACTGAAGCAGTTTCTCCTAGATGTYACAGGGTCTTCATAGGAGCGATGTGGCCAGTACAGGGCCAGGACTGTAGCCCTGACATACACAGTGGGGCCCTCAGTATGACAGTCCTCAGGTAAGACAAGGAAGACGTCTCTACTGCATGCAGGTGTGTTTGGGGCCACACCCTAACCACCCTGATATCAGCTCTGTGGTCTCCACTGGCAAAGCCTACAGGAGTTAGGGCACTCTTGGTAGCACCAGGGATGGCTAGGACATGCCCCTACAGAGGACACCTTATTGCACATTCTTTGGCAAGGTCCCCATGGCTGGCTGCAGAAAACACATGATTTTCCCATAAACATTCATGCAAGATGCCGCATAGATGTGAATGATCACAGGCCCACTCACCCACAGAGTGGTTCCTGTGGCCCCTTCATCTCTGCCTCACACAGTTCCTTCCTCAAAAGTACAAGTCAAAATCCACGGGGATCTCTGTTGAGGGTGTGATCTGCAATCGCCTGGGCTCCAGGTTCTCCTCCCTCCTCCCTCCTCCTCCTCCTCCTCCTCCTCC